TAGAAGCAACCCTTTATACACCAAAGCTGCAACCCAAAACAGAGTCTTAGATATAAGCATAACCTTTAAAATAGTTATGGTAGGTTGGGTTTAGGGTTGAAAGGTCCAGACATATTGTATTTTATTGAAACTCTTTTTCTATGAGAGATTTGAGAGTGCTGATGGTTTTGAGAGGTTTTGAATGTTGATTCTCTCTCTCCCCCCCCCCTTCTCAAAATTCCTCCAGGTTACCCATTCATGCCTCCTTACTGGGCTCTCGGATTCCATCTCTGTCGCTGGGGATACACTTCCACTGCTATTACACGGGAAGTGGTGAAAAACATGACTGCAGCTCTTTTCCCCCTGGTAGGTGCCTTCTCTGAATTCCATCTGACTATAGCTTCTCTCTGGCCCTTGGACTGGCTTATATATTTCCCTGAGCCATAATGTGATTGTATTTTATTAAGTTCAGAGGTTCTTTTCCGATGCCCTATCAATTGCTCTGGCAATCTCCTGCAATCAGAGATTAAGAAACACAATTGATGCAACAACAAAATTATAATGGCGACAGGCCCAATTTCATATTAATGAATACATAAAGGGGAAGGCAAGTTAAAAGATACAGTTCAGCAAATATTTCTGTACAAAAGAGAGCCAGTTTGTGGCGAAGACATCAAACTAGAAAACAGGAAGCCATGAGTTATAGTCCTGTCTTAGCTATGAAAGCCAATAGGTGACTTTGGGCCAGTCACTCTCTCTCAGCCCACCCCACCCCACAGGATTGTTGTTGTGGGGAAAATAGGAGGAAGAAATTACGTTTGAATGTGTTTGCCGCCGTGAGTTATTTATAAAAATAATAAAGGCAGAGTACAAACAGATAGATAGATAGATAGATAGATAGATAGATGATAAATAAAATAAAATAAATAAAAATAAAATAATAAAATAAAATAAAATAAAATAAAATAATAAAATAAAATAAAATAAAATAAAATAAAATAAAATAAAATAAAATAAAATAATAAAATAAAATAAAATAAAATAAAATAAAATAAAATAAATAAAATAAAATAAAATAAAATAAATAAAGCCTGCAAATCACAGTAAAATAAAAAAAGGATTCTACCAAAACTTCTGAGTTGGTTTTAGCTTCGTGTGTGTTTTGTGAATTCAGATATCGATTTTTGTAAATGAGGGTTAATGGATTGTGTCAAGATTGAATGATTAATGGATTGTGTCAATTCAGCTAATTTACCTAATAAACCATTATAAAACAGATCACAGGTTGGGTATGGATACCCAACCTGTATGAAGTAGTACAGCTGCCCTGTCAGTGTAATCACTCAAAGAGAATATTTGTTCTTAGAGAAAAAGTGAGGTGGGACGCAAACCTGCTTTCACCAGAATCTCATTCCTGGGCTCATAGGATGTACAATGGAATGATCTGGATTATATGGACGCTAAGCGAGACTTCACTTTCAACAAGGATGGTTTCAGGGACATGCCAGACATGGTGAATGATTTCCATCGTGATGGTCGGAGGTATGTCATGATTGTGGTAAGTTAATGAATCCTGAATTCTCCTTTGAGGGGCTCACAGCAGTTGAAAATATTGCTGTGTGGAAGTTGACCTAGATCAGTTGTCAGATTCTGATACTGCTGGCCTGACCCAAAAGAGGTAGATAACATTGAATGTAATTCCAGAAATGATATTAATTATAATATTCTGTCTTTGCTTTGCAGCCCTCTCATATGTTGCATGCTCTTGAAGGGTTTGCAAAATCTGCTAGTTTTGTTCCACAGAAGTAGATGATGCAGTTCTATGTCCAGCCCTCCCTAATGCAGTGAGTGAGTCTTTTGGAAGGAAAATGCAATCTAGGGCCTTCCAGTTTAGGAAGGATTCCTTGTTTCGCTGGAGATTCTCTAAGGCAGAGTTCCTTGTCAGCCTATATTTGAGAAGGCCCAATCAGTTGCTAGAAGTATTGGAATGTAATTCAATGTCTTTATGGTAATCTAACAAAATCTTGAACGCTTGTCAGTATTTCAACTTATACCTAACACAACCAAAGCAAAGTTGTTTTGAGCTGCTTTCCAGCTTTCTACTTTTCCAGGACAAATATATTTTCTCAGTATTCTTCCCCTTCCCTGAGTCAAATGAATACAGGTAGTCCTCGACTTACAACGGATTGTTTAGTTGAGTGCTCAAAAGTCACAACCACACTGAAAAAAGTTACATATGACCGTTTTTCACCCTTATAACCGTTGCATGGTCACATGATCAAAATTCAGAAGCTTGCCAAATGACTCATATTTATGACGATTGAAATGTCCCAAGGTCATGTGATCACATTTTGCAACCTTCTGACAAGAATAGTCAATGGGGGAAACCAGATTCACTTAACAACCCTGTTACTAATTTAACAAGTGCAGTGATTCACTTAACAACTGTGGCAAGGAAGGTTGTACAATGAGACAAAATTCTCTTAACAAATGTCTCGCTTAGCAACAGAAATTTTGGGCTCAATTGTGGTTGTAAGTCAAGGACTGCCTGTATTATATCACATTTGCAAACTTTTCATAGGTGGGGTCATATGAATGGAAAAGTTATTTCTGTTTGAGACAATGAACAAAGTATATTTCTCAAAGGAGCCTCTACTGAAAATCTGGAAGGGAGGCAGACAGGTGATGGTACAATATCAGTGTGGCTTTCTTACATATGTCAGTAAGATTGGGTTGGTCTGATTTTTTCCCCTCCCCCAAAGGATTTTGGGTTTTTGTTTGTTAATTGTGAAGGGATTAGCTTAAGTGGTATTTTGCAATTTCAGTATGGTTTTTATTTCCAAATGGCAGGAATCAACACTGTAGATTTTTAATAATAATGGAATAAAGGGTTGGGAAACTGCACTCAGCCCTGAGGCCTCAGATTGCCCATCTCTACTTTTTAGAGTAGAAAGGAAAATTATACAGACCTAGAAAGCACAGAGAACTTTAGATGTTCGTGTATTTCGACTTTTAGAAAAGCAACAGCAGCATGAATGACTTTCCATACTCACGTAATGGGTTGCTCTCTTTATGACCTTTTAATGTTCCATTCATGTTTTGCATTTAGAATGTGATAATCCACAAGCTGTGTGCTGTTGCCCAACTTCAGTAATGGATGTTCCTCTTTCTCCTAAAATGTCAAGTTTGCTTCTGTTTTTCACACTGTTAAAATGTCATAATCTGGACTTTCTACGTATAAATAAAGGCATGTTCATTTCCGATGCCTCATGTGCTTTTTTGACAATCTGTCTCCCAACTCTGAAGTACTGCCAAAGTTTGAAAGAGCATGTGTTTTGTTCCCTTGCTTGAGACAACCGTGTCCTGTCCCCCTCACATTTTCATACTCCCATCAGATTCATTATGGCTAAACAGATGTCTCCCTCTGTTTCCTTGTAGGATCCAGGGATCAGCAGTTCCAGTCCCCCTGGCAGTTATAGGCCCTATGATGAAGGCCTGAAGCGGGGGGTCTTCATCGTAAATGCGACAGGACAACTTTTGATTGGAAGGGTGAGACTTGAGATCACCCATGGACAGGGGCCTGTACAGAAGCAGTTACTGGGTTCAAAATGGCAGGCGTGACTGGGCAATCAAAGCCCTGTTCCTGTTTATATGTATATATGTATATACAAAACATATTAAAAAGTAATGGGCTTCATTTGGACAATCAGTCCTGCCATCCTGAAGCCAGTGACCACTGCTATGGACACTCCTGCCTTGAGCCTTGGTAGAGAAAGGATGAAGCTTCAGTGGGGGAGGTGCCATGTGGTGAAATTTAAGTCTGTAGTCTAGTAGATCTTGAAAGAAGAATAGAACAAAGGGAGTTAGGGAATATATTTTTTGTTTCCCTTGTGAACATTTCTCACATATTTCATGTCTTCCTTTGATCTTGAGCCATTGAAATCCAGATATGAAGATACACATGTTGAATGCAGCTGCGTTTATAGTTTCACTATTATACAACATCATGAAAGGGCGATGGGTTCAACTTTAAAACATTTTTTTTATTCTGATAATTAGCCTGTTAATGTTTTTATTGTTCCATCTCCAAAGATACAACATCATGTAAGGACGATGGGTTCAACTTTAAAACAATTTTTTTTTATTCTGATAATTAGCCTGTTAACTTTTTTATTGTTCCATCTCCAAAGATACACTAAAATGCATCACGGTAGAATATATAGAAGGTTTACAGATTTATACTCATAGCTCTGGTTTTTATCTTCTAGGTTTGGCCTGGGCCCACTGCCTTCCCTGATTTCACCAACCCAGAGACTCACCAGTGGTGGCATGACATGGTGAAGGATTTCCATGACAAAGTGCCCTTTGACGGCATGTGGATAGTGAGTTTCCAAGCCTGGGACTTGAATGCTGAACAGTTGGGAGATTTTTCCTTTGGTTGGATGGCGCTTTTGGAAGTTGTAATTTAAAAAGAAAATATGACACATAAACCTCCTTCTATTCCCTTCTCTAGGACATGAATGAGCCATCAAATTTTGTGGATGGTTCCTTGGAAGACTGTCCAAACAACAAGCTTGAAAACCCCCCATACGTACCAGGTAAAAAGGGGAGCAGCTTGTTGGGAGGGGATGCTTCTGGCAAACATATAGTCTAGTTGGAGGACTAAGAAAAAAATAAAATTAATTATTTGAGGGAGGGAGAAAGACGAACAGTGGAATAAAATCCATACCTGAAATACGTACTATATTCCATTTGTTTGAAATTTAAATTTGTTGAAACATGTCTCCAGTTTAGTTAACAGTCATCTTGATAAAGATGATAAATAAGATGGGAATCTGTCTTCCCACTCAGTGATTCTTAGGCGTGTGTTCATGTTTGTGTGTCTAGCTTTTATATTGCCTTAAACCAGGGGTAGGCAACCTTGGTTCTTTTATGACTCGTGGACTTCAACTCCCAGAATTCCTGAGCCAGCATGGCTGGCTCAGGAATTCTGGGAGTTGAAGTCCACGAGTCATAAAAGAGCCAAGGTTGCCTACCCCTGCCTTAAACTATGGTTCGCTTTAACTATAACTGAACAAATCAGAGTGTTCTGATTTATACATAATATTAAACCTGAACCTTATTTTACAAATGGCAGTGACTGAATTCACACATCCTATCATGACCAAATGAAACAGATTACCTATTGTCTTAGAATGTTGTGTGAGCCAGCCACAGCAGATTTAAGAGGCTCTTTAAGTAATTGGATGGAACTGTAATCCAATACATCTTGGGTTTGGGTTTTTTTTTCTCTGTTTGAGCATAATACAACTTACCTAAATAAATACACAGACAACTAATTGCTTCTAATAAGAGAGGACATTGCAAAAATTCTGGCAAATATCTGCCAGGTAGTTGAACAATAAAAAGTTGCTAAATAAGCTATAGTGAAAAAGGGTTGTAGTACAATTTACAGGGATTTTAAATAAAATTGAAGAATATACTTAGTAGCGTATTTCCTACTGATTTTTAGTTCAATATGGAAAGTAAACATATTGTTGACTGAAATACATTGTAGGCATATGAATTTTACATATGACTATACTATAAATGATACATAAGCACTGGATGCATGAGGCTTTTGAAAAATGCAAACATGGATTCCGAACATTCAGACGTTCTTTGGCCTAACTTTGCAAACACTTGAATCTGGATATTTAAGAAGACTTGTTGGCTTTTTTCAATGTTTTTAGTTTTGGGGGCACCCAGTCCAGAGCTAACCCAAATGGCTTATAACAGGGGTCCCCAACCCCTGCTCCGTGGACCGGTACCAGCCCGTGGCTGATTGGGAACTGGGCCAAGCATGTGGCGGGCGAGTATGCAAAGCTCTATTTGTCCAAGCGGCAGGCACACACGCATGAAACCAAAAGTCACTGTGACATCTAAAACACTCAGTTCTGCACATCTCGCACATCCTTTGCTTTGCGGTCTGGACAATTTCATTGGTTATATAGCATTTCTCCCCATATATTTGCAGGAATGCTGGGTGGAACCTTGAAGGCAAAAACCCTCTGCGCCTCCAGTAGGCAGAAGCTGTCTTCCCACTATAACTTGCACAGCCTTTATGGGTTGACTGAAACCATTGCAACACATGAGTGAGTATGAAAGGGAATTCTGCCAGATAGATAGGTGTTCCTTTGATCCTGCCCAAGAGATGGAGTGCCTTTTTTATACAAATTAAGGACAATATAGCTCATCCCCGACTTATTTGTTTATTGACTGTTCAAAGTTGCAACGACACTGAAAAAAAGTGATTTATAACCACTTACTGACATTTAACACCAACCCACCACTCCCACAATCCTGTGATCAGAATTTGATTGCTTGGCAATCAGCATTTATTTACAACAGTTGTAGTGTCCTGGGGTCATATGATTACCATTTGTGACCTTCTCCATCTGGTTTCCAGCAAACAAAGTCAATGGAGGGGGGGAAGCTGGATTCACTTAAATGACTGCATGATTCACTTAACAACTGCAGTGATTTGCTTAGCAACCATGGCAAAAAAAGGTTGTAAAATTAACAGGCGCCTCACTTAGCAACATAAATGTTGGGTCTCCATTGTAATCATAAGTTGAGGACTACCTATAATGCATTTTGGTATGGGGGAATTGGATTACCTACCTCAACAGCTAGGTTGAAACTAAGCTAGTAATTGAAAGGGTATGATTTATTATGGCAAAATCCATGACTCTGGTGTTTTCAGTATTTTCTAAACCTTGTGCAGTTAGGAGTATAAAAACTCCAGGTTTCAAATCCATCAAGGTCATTTGAATACTTCTTTTCTGTTCTCAGTGCTTTGGTGAAAGTGCGAGGGAAGCGTCCATTTGTGATCTCACGTTCCACCTTTGCCAGCCACGGACGCTATGCTGGCCATTGGACAGGGGATGTCATAAGCGTTTGGGAACATTTATACTACAGTATACCAGGTACAAGTATTTGTAGAAACCACTTTGTGAACTTCTCCAAATCTGTACCTGTCTATCGTGTGTGTGTGTGTGTATGTTCTATATCTCCTTTGGAAAGAAAAACGTATCAGAAAAAGATATTATCTGGCAAGACAAAATATTGTGGCTCCTCTCTTGTAGAACATCAACATTTCTCTTACTGCTTTCTGGAGCTTACCATTCAGGGTTTTTCCTAATCCACATTATCTGTCCTTTTAAAGCAATGCTGCTCTTCAATCTCTATGGAGTGCCATTGGTTGGGGCTGACATCTGTGGATTTCTGAACAGCACGACGGAGGAGCTGTGTGTGCGCTGGACTCAACTGGGTGCATTCTATCCTTTCATGCGAAACCACAATGACCGCGGAAGCAAGGTAAGCATGAGAACTGTGCATCAGCCTGGCCATTGTTTTCATTGGAGAGGGCTGTGACAAACTGGAACAAAGCAGCAGCCTGCAGGCAATTCTGGGAGTGATAATCTCACTATATCTAGAGGTACCAGACTTAGGAAATTGATTTAGTAAGTTTAAACAGGATATATGAATTGGGTGTGTGTGTGAACCGTTTCTTAGAATTTGATTGGTCTCTCTTACATCAAAAATTGGGTACAAAGACAGGTTGTTAAGGAAAGTCCATGAACTTTTCAACAAGTTGAAACTTGAAATAGGCTTCAATTTGTTAGGATTTTTCCTGTCAAGCTTGTAGCCAAGGCTAGTGTTCTTACTTTCATTGTAAATCAGTGATGATGTAGCTTTTAAATAGAAATCACTGCAAACAAGCAAATAATAAGTGATGCTTATATGTTTGGGTTTTTCCTCTCTTAAAACTGAAAATACATTCCTCTTTGTATTTGGAGCATACTATAAAATCTAGCTTTATAATAAGAAAAATAAAAAAGTGTGTAATATGCATTTATCCAATCAAGGCACCAAAAGTTAATTTAGTGATCCAAGAATACTGAATGAGAAGCTCTAAGATAGTATAATATTTGCAAATCAAAGAAATACAGCTTGCCATAGGAGGCCATAATAATAGTTTTTGTACTTGTGTGAAAAGACTAATTTCTCTTTCCACATTCCTTCTTAATTGCAGGGCATGGCTTTAGTGTATGGTGTGAAGTAGGCCTTAATGCCTCAATTCTTGTTAAGTACAAGAGTCATGTGTGGGAGAACGTGCTAGTAGCAGGAAGGAAAAAAGATTCAGTATGGAAAAGAACTTCCTGAATCCCACCTTAGTACAAGCCATCCTCGATTTGCAATCACAATTGACCCCAAAATTTATGTTGCTAAGTGAAATATTTGTTAAGTGATTTTGCACCATTTTATGACTTCTCTTGCCTCTATTGTTAAGTGGATCTGGCTTCCCCATTGACTTTGCTGGTTAGAATGTCTCAAAAGGTGATCACATGACCCCAGGATACTGCAACCGTCATAAATATGAACCAGTTGCCAAGCATCTGAATTTTGATCATGTGAACATGGGGATGCTGCAAAATGTGAATGGTGTGAATAAGTAAAAAATGATCATAAGTCACTTTTTTCAGTGCCGTTGTAACCGAACCGTCACTAAAGGAACTGTTGTAAGTCAAGGACTATCTGTAAATAGAAGAAATGCCTTTTCTGCCTCAGGAACCCGGTAACATGATAACTCTCATTTCTTGTCTGTCTACTTTGCAGTCTCAAGAGCCATATGCCTTCAGCCTGGAAGCCCAACAAGCCATGAGGAAAGCCTTTTCCCTGCGCTACTCTCTGTTGCCCTATCTTTACACCCTGTTCCACAAGGCCCACTCCACAGGCGAGACAGTAGCCCGTCCTCTTTATTTTGAGTAAGTCAGGGGACGGCTGTGTTGTGAGGGAGGATATGGCCCGATGGATCTCAGCTAACATTTGATTGAAATGCTCTGGAGCAAAAGCTTCTGAATTATTATAAAATAGCCTTCACCAATGATCTTCCAAGTGAGTTTTAAGGTAAACGCATGGTGGGAATTCAACATCGGGCTGGGTAAGACTTGGAGGAAGGCTGACAGACAATTTTGAAATCTTTTACCTGTCCTCAAAGAAGGATGTGGTGGTACTCTTGCTCAGTTCTGGCTGAAGGAAATAGATCTACACATGGGAGGGAAATCTGTTGTAATGACTTTTTGTCCTTGATTGCCAGAAGTTCTTTGAAGTCGTGTGGTCATGTTCTTTTATCATTCTTGCAGGTTCCCACAAGACACATATACATGGACCATTGATAGACAGTTCATGTGGGGAGCTGGGCTCCTCATTACTCCTGTGTTAGAAGAAGGGATAAGGAAAATGGCTGGCTATTTTCCTTTGGGGACATGGTACGATATCATCACGGTGAGTGTGGCTTTCAGCATTCACGGAGGCTCAGATGGAATGTCTGTGACTCTCTGCCTTAATCAGCCATTAAACGTTCGCAGAGTTTACATAGATGGTTGCAGTTGACCCATTTAATCCTGTTCCATCATCTTGTGCCTGCTCTTCTGCTAAGAGCAGTTGTTCTGGGTACTTTTGTCTATAGTGTCAGACCTGTAGGTTAAGGCAGACTAAGAAACCAATGCCATATAAGTCTAAAAACCCTCTTTAATTAGAACAGGTACAGTAACAGAATCCTGTATGCCTGAATGTGCCTTCCTCCCTCCCTTATTTTACCTTTGTCTAATTCACTGCCTGAGATTTTTCTCAAGTTAATTTCTTGGAATGAACATAAGCCTCTCTTGTCTGATTGTTGCTTTGGTAATACAAACCTTGTCTTAATTATATGATTTTTATATCTGTGGGTCTTCAGGGATCCGTCATCCACAGCAAGGGACAATGGATTCTCCTACCTGCTCCACTTGACACGATCAATGTCCATATCCGTGGAGGTCACATTCTTCCTTTGCAGGTGGGCCTAATACGCCAGTTCTTCTCCTGCTACTTTCCCAGAAAATAGGAGAATGGAAGCCCAATATTGCTGCAAGATTCTCTGGATAGAATGCTTTGTTTTTAAAAAAATAAAAAAAATTTTTTTGCTTGGGATGGGAGGAGTGGGGGAGGAAATGTAACTAAAGTGAAGAAGTCTTTTAGGCCCTTCTACTTTGATATAACTTCTTCCTCTACTGCAAATCTCTCCAGGAACCTGCTCTCACAACCACAGAATCCCGCTTGAATGGAATGACGCTCATCGTGGCATTGACACTGGAAGGGGTAGCCAGAGGAGATTTGTTCTGGGATGATGGTGAAGGTCTGCTGACCTTTGAGAAGGGTGATTACACACAGATCTTCTTTCTGGCAACACATGTGAGTGTTCGAGTAACAAATTTGATCTTGGTAGCTAAACTATGCTAACCAGAGCATATTGCATTTTAATCAGTTATTTCTTATTTTCGGTTACCTCAAGGACAGGTAGTTCTCGACTGACAACTACTGAAAAAAGTGATTTATGACCGTTTTTCACACAATCGTTGTAACATTTCTATGGTCACGTGATCAAAAGTTGGACACTTGGCAACTGGCACATATTTATGACGGTTGTAGTGTCCCTTGGTCATGTGATCACCTTTTACAATCTTCTGACAAGCAAAGTCAACGGACAAGCCAAATTCACTTAATAACCGTGTTACTTAACAACTGCAGTGATTCAGTTAACTGTGGCAAGAAAAGTCGTAAAATGGGGAAAGCTCACTTAACAACTGTCTTGCTTAGCAATGGAAATTTTGGTCTCAGTTGTAGTCATAAGTCGGGGACTAACTGTATCTTGTTTCTCTTCCTATCGGAACACCCCAAAATATCTGCATAATAGTGTCACAGCAGGGCAGTAGATGAGATGGCAAGGTACAGTATGCTGAAAACCCCTGTAGACTTTCTAAGCCCATTTGGATACAAGGATTGCTTTCTCACTGACCAAGTTGCTCTTCATTGGTGCCCTTCTACAGCTGAATTATGACTACAATAATAGCAGGGGTCTGCCATTTTTTGTGGCCAATGGCCACACGTGAATTTTGGCAGGTATGCTCTTGGTCACACTGCAAAAAATAGAACAGTCAGGAGTGGCTGAGCTTTGGGTGTTAAATACTATATATTAAGTGCAAGTGATAAGATTTGCAGTAGTTGATGTTCACTTCAGAAAAGGCTCTTAGGACTTTTGTGGGTTAATTTATTTAAGAAAATTTATATTGCCGCCTAGCTCATTCTTGACTCCAGGGAACTTGCAAGGGTAAACCCCAAAAACAAAAAAACAATAACAAAAAAACAGTGACACCCCCTGGCAACAACAAACATTTGAGCCACTTGATGGGCTCCATATTACTCTAGGGTCCCCAGATCCATTGGCAGGACATGTCTTCAGGATCTTGTGGAAGACTATCAAAGTGGGGGCCAATTGTATCGATGCAGGGACAATGTTCCACAGGATGGAGGGTTGCGGGTTGTACTTTAAAGGGCAGAGTGATCAGTTATGGTGAGATTGGATGGGAAAGCAGTGGGCAGAATCAGTTGTCTCCAAAGGGAAGGCTGATTAGCACATAGGCAGCACCATAACAACCTTAATAAATGTGCCTTCTTGTGGTAAGGTTGTCCAAGAGATGAAAACAAAGCTGAGAATGGTGCATTTCTCACACCTTATTTCTTAGCTGGATGCTTCTTTCTAAAGATCATTCTTAACCAGGCACCCTCTAAACACGCAGACCTGTATCTCCAGTGACTGTTTGGTAAGAGCTGTTTCTGCAGCTTCTGTGCAATTCTAGGAAAGGTGTACAAGGTTATAGACAGGTGCTACCTGCCCACCTTTTCACCCTCCAAAGCACTTGAAGTATATATTATTGGGTGTTAATAATCAAACTTTTTCTTACGCTTATATTTCAACCCTGCCAGTTTTTAAAAATTCCTCTTCCCTTCTTCTGATTCTTTGAGGATCTAACTGCTTACTGATTATAAGACTTTTACTAGCACTGCCAATTATATAGAAAAAAAAGAAAAACCAAGAGAAAGACTTTGTGGGATCTCACTTACCATGCCATGTCACATCGAATCTAGAAGTTGTCTTTGGCTGCACTACAGCAGGACTACATACATCACCATGACACAACAGAAAAAAAATTACATGCAGCAATACTTCCAAAAACAGATGAAGCTCAGAAAAATCTAGATATTATTATGCATCTAAATATCATGACTCCATTGAATTTCCACCCGCTGTGTCCCTTGCCTTCTCCAAAATGTTGATCCCTGACCTTGAAGGTTGCCTATTGCTGTGCTATTTGCATCGGCTTCTCCTTTTCTTCTTGTTGCAGGGTGTGCTAATGAATGAGATTGTGCGACTCAGCAGCCACATAGATGGGCTCCTTCTGATACAGGTGCTGGTGTTAGGTGTCCCCAGCCCTCCCCATCAGGTCCTGGCAAATGATACCCCTGTCTTGGATTTTTCTTACCGCACTGACACCAAGGTAAGTGTGTTTCTTGCACTCCAGAAGGTTTCTGCATGAGAATCCAATCCAACAAATGTGGATTCTTTCATCAATATAATTTATTGTTTTCAAAAAGTTCTTTATTGTTTTAACTGTTTTTATGGTTTTGGAATTGTAACCCGCCCAGAGTCATTAACTGAGCTATGCAGTTGTAGAAATTGAATACATAAATAAATACAAGTAATATAAATACAAATATAATATAATATAAATACAAAGAACAGGGAGTCAAGCTATTTTCCAAGGCGCCTGAAGGCAGGACAAGAAGCAATGGATGGAAACTACCGGTAATCAAGGAGAGAAGCAACCTAGAACTAAGGAGAAACTTCCTGACGGTTAGAACAATTAACCAGTGGAACAACCTGCCTCCAGAATCGGTGAATGCGCCAACACTGGAAGTTTTTAAGAAGAGACTGGACAGCCATTTGTCCGAAATGGTATAGGATTTCCTGCCTGAGCAGGGGGTTGGACTCGATGACCTCCAAGGTCCCTTCCAACTTTATTATTATTATTATTATTATTATTATTATTATTATTATTATTACATAAACATCTTGCAGTGGTAATGGATTTGGAGACGATAGTTATGAATGAAGCTTCCTAGGATTCTCAGAACTAGTTCCACTATTGAAGAAAGAGGTGGAAAACTCATTCCTGATTGCATGCCTCCTCCAGCTTTAGTGAAGCTCCCAAAACGCTTTCCTTCTGTGACACTGAAGTAGCAAACTGGCTATTTATCAGTGATCCTTTGCTTGGAAACTGAGTGCATTTCAAAGTTAAGAAACAAAGGTTAACAAATATTCTGGATACCTTTGAAAGACTCTTGGGGATCTTCATACAAAGTTAAACTTGACATTTCTCGAATTAGTTTATCTTGTCAATGCTTTTTCTTTATTAAAATGTTCCACTCAATAATAAATTAGGTTGAGTGTGCTTGAGATATACATAGGAAAAAAATGGTTGGAGCAATTGAAAAGAAGGGAAAATATTCTTCTTCTCGGTCCCCTAGAAGACACTGCTAGAGCCAGGAGGCATATATTTATTTTGCACTTAATTATTTTTTTGTCTTGCTTTTTTTTCTTCCTCTCTTGCTGCATAAGGCTGAATATGGCCCTCAGCCCCAGAAATGGATGCCCTCTCCGGCATTAATGCAGCATCCTTTTTTGTACCTCCCGCCCAGCTAGCAACAGGCCAATACAGATAGTCCTTGACTTAAAATCATTTATTTAGTGACCGTTCGAAGATACAACGGCATTGAAAAAAGTGACTTATGGCCATTTTTCACACAACCGTTGCAGTGTCCCCATGGTCACGTGATCAAAACTTGGATACTTGGCAACTGGCTCATATTTATGACGGTTGCAGTGTCTCGGGGTCATGCAAAATCAATGGGGGAAGCCTGATTCACTTAGCAACTGTGTTACTAAGTTAACAGTTGTAGTGATTCACTTAGCAACTGTAGCAAGAAAGGTCATGAAATGGGACAAAACTCACTTAATTGTCTTGCTTAACAACAGAAATTTTGGGCTCATTTGTGATGGTTAGTCGAGGACTGCCTGTATTCCAAATGATATAAAATGTAGACAGAGAGAGTTTGCACACATCCTTTTCATTCATCAATTTGGGTGTGTATTTTTATTTAGTTTTGTAAGGCACCTACTGTCATAATGGGTGATTTTCTTAAATGCTAAGCAATAACCTCCATTAATTGCTGAGGACACATTTAAGTCTATGGCCTTTGTAGAAACTTTGCAGAAAGTCCCATGGGAAGAGCTTGTGTGTGGTTTGTGATATCCCAATTAAGTTTGTAGTTCAGTGCAGATAAGTGCATTGGTGTGTTGAGGAGGCAACACTGCACCATCTAAAGCTCCAGTTCTCTCCTCAGCTTTGTAGGGCCATTCATAGCCACACAAGTTATATTACTGCGTAATGTTCCTCACATTGATGACAGGATATTATTTTGAGCAATTGTAACTAACTTCCTCTGTCACTTCTTCAGGTCCTTACTATTCCACTCTCTTTGCTGATGGGGGAGGAATTTGTCATCACTTGGTCCTGAGAAGAAAAAAAGACAGACCACAATCTGAATGAAAAATAAACACCTCTGAAATGTAAAATGAAAAAAAAAAGTTTCTTTGAGGAACAAGATCCTTTTGCTCTGGTGTTCCAGTAAGGATTATTAGGGCCTGCAGGAGATCTCCTGTGCTCTTTATCCAAACTGGATAGGTAACAAGATTTGTGTCGGGTTGGATGCTACCAGGCTTCATGACCAGATTCTATAATGGTTTGAATGATTGCATTTTTCAAATGTCACCTCCTCCTCCTAGAGAAGAATACATGATTTCTGTTAAGGATGTTGTAATATTTCCCAGAAATGCACAGGGAGGTGGAGTAGAGCAGCTGATTTTCAAGTGCCAGGATTATATTCTGTAATTTTATCAAATTAGGGGGGGGGAAAGGATCTCAGTGTATAGATAATAAAAGTACCAGATGTCCCAACCAATGTACTGACTGCATGCTACTGCATTAATATAATATTTTGACAAACATGTTGTCTATGTGATAATGCTTTATACATTTATATAAAACCATACTTCCTTAAACCAAAGTTTTCCTCATCTTCTGATAGATGTTCTCATGGCAGCCTCAGGTGAGAATGCTTAAGCAGTTCTTTCTCTTGACAATTGATTGCTTCCCAGTTGCTATCTCTTTTTGAGGGAATAGTTTAGTTCTCCATCAGAAAACTGAGTTGTTTCAAGACCAGGCCTCCTTGAAGCATTCATGGACTTCTCTATTCAAGTTAGACAAATTATTGACTTGCTTGAATAGAGAAATCCAGGAATAGAGTAGCTTCCACTTTTTGTGTTTGCTTGATTCCTTGCTGGCCCATCCTTTTCTTTCACTTCCAAAGGCTTTCCTCCTTACTTTCTATACATTTGTAAGCACTGAGTCTAGACATACTCATTTCCTGGAAATAGGTTTATTCCCAATGAAGTTGGTATTTTCCCTATATTGTATTCATCTGCATAATTGAGATTTGCTTCCTGTTCGAAGTCATACAAGGATATTTAATGTAGGAGTTAGACCGATGTTCTGTAGAATTGTGTTGAGATGATATAACATGGGATGCCACATACTCTTACAAAGATTTACAGTACAGCATTTTTGTCAGATGGTTATATTAAGAAAAAAACATAGAGTTCATTGGTTGGACAATTTGGTACATTTTATATATTTCTTTTAAAGCAAGCAATGCATTTTTGGCATTGTGCACTGAAGGAACAGTTCCTAATTTCTTCTTTCAGTTGGGACATGGAATAGGAAAATCAAGGAAAAGTTGAAATTGTCAAAATGGATATGATGTATGCTATTTTGGATGTCCTAGGAATAAGGGAATGTTTATGAACCAGAATGGGCCAATTTAATTCAGACAATTAGATGGTTTGTGGCCTCAGTCCATAAAAAGGAATGAACCAACTGTGGTACCTAAAATATTTAAGTACATGCTCAGCTAAAATCAAATACGAGATAAAATCTTAACAAAATTAATGGCTAGCAAGTAAACATCTATGATGGACAACAATGAAATCAAGTAGATTACAAAACAGGAAATAGAAGATGGAAAAGTACAATTGGCTATGAGTTTCCAGATTTGGATTGTAGAACATACCATGAATTGCTGGTTTCAAATATTCAGGTTAAACAGAGAAATTAAAGAGAAAGGTGTGTCAAAAAATAAGCTATGGAGAATATACATTGATCTTATAGTCTGACTGTAACAACTTCCATGTATCTAATTTGTGTAAAAAAGAACATGAATTGCTATGAGAAGAACCAAGAGACACTACAACTGAATAGATATTGAACAACTGAACCAAAAAAAATCCGAACATTTCAAAGAGGAAAAAAATAAAATCAAGTGGCTTTCAGAACAATCAATTGTTATAGCCAGGCAAAAAACAAAGGATGAAACACTTGGGCAGTTAGAAGAATGTAAAAGTGACAGACTTCGAAAGTCAAACAAGAAAGAATTTAAAAAAAGGTCTTTCTCTTAAGAAGGTCAACAGATGAATAAATATAAAAAGAAAATGTAAGAAGAAGAGCATTTAAAGTGTAGCTGTTCCCCCAACGGTTGGGAACAGGGTGAGGTTAGAGTGAAAGAGAATATGATGGTTGCATCGGGGGAATGTGCCAGGCTTTTATATTTTGGAGTTACTGGTTTTATTGTTTCTTATTTTTATTATGTATATGTTGCTTTATTCTTGATTGGAAGCTTCCCAGAGTTAGGTTAAGATAGTAAGTTATGCAAAAGTTTTAAATAAATAAACAAACAAGCAAACATATCTGAAGTGGGAATTCTTAAGGGAAATCATGAAGGAGGCCTTCAAGGTGCAAAGGATACTGAGTAAAAGGAATTTTTTACAAACTAGATTAAAGAAGGATGGAAACATTTACTGTATAAGGAGATTTAGGAACTTGCTCTAAAAACTGACATCTCAGACAACAAATCAGCTGTTCAGTAAGAACACACCTATTTCACTGCTTAAAACATCAGGAGAAGTCAAATCATTAAAGATAAGGCCATGCACACTTTGAAAATATTTAGAAAAAATGTTTCACACCATACATAAACCCCAGCATGTCTTAGTTATTCATTGAAATATACTGTTGTTTTTCAGGCTTTTGCTGAAATCTGAAAAGAGTTGTGGATGCTGTAAGAGATGGACTAAATTTAATCAATTCAAAGCATACACAGTACTACTTAAAGGTCTGTGTTTATAAATACAGAACAAGGTTGTGTGCTAGAGGCTGGAGAAGACTGGCATATGTCCCTCTAGGGAAGAAGGGAGATGCAGGAGAATGTCCAAATTATTAGTTACACTGACTTCTTATCCAAGGAAAGCCTTGTTTAAAGGCTCGCAAAGGAGCATACAGAATGGAGAGAAAAATGCTAAATGAATAGGCAAGTTTCAGAAAAGGCAAAGGGACATGACATCAAACAAAAATGGATAATGGAGATAGAATGAGTATAACAAAGAGATTTACCTTTGCTACAACAAAGTTCAAACTCTCTGATCGTACTGACCAGATGACAACAGAATGTGAAATACATCGCCAATGAAAATGGTAGAACACTGGCTTGTTCTGAAGGATCTGAACTGAAGGATCTCTCAGGAACTGAGCCTGAAGAAAGGGAGTGGTTCAGAATAGAGAGAAGGGAGTGAGTCAACATACCAATTGTCCTTTTAATTTCTTGACTCAGCATGCCGGCTGGGGAATTCTAGGAGTTGAAGTTCACACATCTTAAAAGTTGCCAAATTGAAGAAACTCTAGTTTAATTTATGCAGCAAATCCTAGGATTGAAAAGGACAGCAGGAGTTAAATTTGTGACGTTTCAACCACTAGTATTGTTCCAAAGTGGTTATTATTGTAAAAGATACTATCCTGTCTCCTAGCAAATAGAAAAATCATACAATACATTATATTTAGCTATTCAATTATTGCTGAAAGAATAGTATGCTACCTGCCTTCTGTGGAATAAATTAAACCAGGGCTTGCCCATAGGACCTCTTTTTAATTCCAGGAGTCATTGAATCTGGATTGCTAGATTTTTTTTTTTCTAATCTGGAATTGAAGACAAGCATTTCAGAACCAGGGTTATGGAACACCATTGTACTTCAGTGTTCAGAAGAAGACCATAGTTAAGCATGATCCTTTCACCCAGGATTCTTTAAGACTATTTTTACTACATTGTCATTTCCTCCCCCAAGCTTTGGGATCACACACCTCAAGTTTGTTTCCCTTGCCTGTCTGCAATCATGGGATTTCCAGTAATGTAACTTGATCCACCCTTTCCTACCAGCCCAGGTGAGGCCTCTCTGACTAGCTTTGCAAGTCTCATGAGAAGCTTCTTCCGCTTGAATAACTGGAGTAGTTGTCACCAGGGCTTTTTTTGTCATAGAACGCCCAGAACGGAGTTCCAGCACCTTTTTTGGATGGAACCTTGTAGGGTAGGCAAGGCGGGTTGTATGACGTGTGTGAGGTCCGGCACATTTTTTTTTAGAAAAAAAGCACTGGTTGTCACCAAAGCAAGTAACATTTCGTCACAGAAAATTGGTGTACTGACATGGAGGACCACAGTGATGAATTCTATTAATAGGTCATAAGGACAAAAAAGAGTACCATATACAATTAGTCCTTGATTTACAGCCACAATTGTGCTCAAAATTTCCACTGCTAAACGAGACAGTTGTTAAGTGAGTTTTGCCCCATTTTACGACCATTCTTGCTATAGTTGTTAAGTGAATCACTGCTGTTAAGTTAGTAACATGGTTGTTAAGTGAATTTGGCTTCCCCCTTTGACTTTGATTGTCAGAAGGTCGCCAAAGGTAATCCATATGACCCTGGAACATTGCAACTGTCATAAAATACATGCCAGTTGCCAAACATCCGAATTTTGATCATGTGACCCTGGGGATGCTGCAACCAGTCGTAAGTATGAAAAACGGTCATCAATCACTTTTTCCAGTAACATTGTAACTTTGAATGGTCACTAAAGAAAAGGTTATAAGTTGAGGACTACCTGTACTAAATCAGAAGACCTAACATCTAAGACATTTCTGGCACAGGCAGAACTTTGCTGTTGAAGAGCCCTGCTGTTCAACTCAGAAGCTTGAACAGGTTGGCTTATGGAAGCAGATCAAGGGACTCATGTTTTCGTTTGAAATATATCCTTGGCCCTCCCACAGAGAAAGCATTTTCTGCATTATGGTCTCTCCCATAAAGCTCAAATTCATCCTTGAAAATCATCAGAATGTAGACTGTAAGCTCCTTCAGACCGTGCATATCCTATTTTTTTTTTGGTTCATTTGGTGATGGGTGAAGTATTACATGTCTTTCTCAGGAATATGAATGACTACATCAAAATAATAAGGCTTAGAGTGGATAGTTCTCTGTTTATTAAGAAGTATAGAAATATCCATCATAATACTTATAATTTAAGATTTTATTTAAGATTAGATTTTATATTAAAATCTCCTTTAGTTTTCTTCTGTTCTTCTTGCTGCAGAGACTCGTATTTTCCTATATATGCTAAGGTGTAAAGGTTATAAG